TCATTGTTGTTTGGCGGGTCCGGGCTGGGGATTCGAACCCGCCACCTTAGGTGTATGTGGCTGGCGCCTTAGCCGCTTGAGCCACAGGCGCTGAGCCCATTCATTTATTTTTTGAGACAGACTCTTGCTCTGTCACCCTGGCTGGAGTACAGTTGCACAGTTATACCTCATTACAGCCTTAAACTCCTGGGCTCAGGCAATCCGCTTGCCTCAGCCTCCCAAATAACTGGGATGACAGGCACCCAGCACCATGTCCAGCTAAGTTTTAAAATTTTTTTGTAGAGACAAGGTCTCACTATGTTGCTCAGGCTGATCTGGAACTCCTGAGTGCAAGTGATCCTCCTGTCTCAGTCTCCCAAGGGATGGGATTACAGCCCTGAACCACCAGGCCCAGCCAAACAGTAGAATTTTAAAAGCAGTAACTGGTTCAGCAATATGAGAGTACTTATTCTGATGAAGCACTGTGGTAGATGTTGTATTTGGTAGTACCAGGTGCATGAAGATAGGTATGATACTGAGATTCTTTTAGTTAGAGATAAGAAATTCCTCAAGAGTACAACCAGGAACTAGTCACATGAGAAACAAAATTCACTGTAAAAAGCTAGTTCCTATCTTGTGAGTCCTCAGAATTTGGCCAACGGAATGTTTACTCTGAGACCCCAATGCTCACCTCTGAGGGTGCTCCATAGGACCCTCTGCGGTGAGGCCACAGTTGGGCTGGCCTTATTAGGTGGGGTTGGTGATAAAGCTCAGCTGTGAATTCTGTCACCCCAGTGAGTCTTCCAAGGGGCTCTGAATGGCACATACCATGTCCTCATGAGATGGAGATGCGACCTGAGTCCTTCCATGATTCTTGGCTTGCTACACTGTGGGGAAACTGGGACTTAGCTGGGAAGTGACATAATCAAGTTGGTATTTTTAAAGGATAACAAGTCTTCTGAATGGAGAAAGGTTTAAATGTCACCAGCTGCTGCATTTTTTTTTTTTTTTGAGACAGAGTCTTGCTCTGTTGCCTAGGCTAGAGTACCCTGGCATCAGCCCAGCTCACAGCAGGCTAACTCAGACTCCTAGGTTTAAGTGATCCTTCTGCCTCAGCCTCGGGAGTAGCTGGGGCTATTGGTCTCTACCACCACACCTGGCTAATTTTCCTATTTTTAATAGAGATGGGGTCTTGCTCTTGTTCAGGTGAGTGCAGTGGCGTCATCATAGTTCCTGAGCCCATAGGATCCTCCTGCCTTGGCTTCCCAGAGTGCAGGGATTACAGGTGTCAGCCACCAGCTGCTCTGCTGCAGGACCTCCTTTAACTAAGCCTTTCTCCTGGCTCGGATGAGACCAGTCATACATTGACTCCTCTCCTCTCCTCTGGGATATTGTTAGGCATCCCTACCCTGTTGGACTTTGATAAAAATTTCCCAGTAATTTCTCAGTTCAGGAAGTGGCTCCAATAAAGCTTCTGGCTATCCTGATTCACTTCCCTTTCCCATTCTCTGCAGTGGCTACTCCAAATCTTGACCTTTTCTATCCAGCTTTAAACCCTACCTGACTCCTTGTTCTGGGTAGAAGTCCTATATTCCCAGACACCAAAGATAAAGATTTCACACACCCTCTTACTTCCGTCTTCTCCACCTATGCTTAGCCATAACACCATCTACAACTTTCCTCCCAGCTTCTCAGCTGTCTTCTAAAGCTACTCTGTCTGTTCTGGGGGATACAGACGATCCCTGAATTATGATGGTCTACCTTTAAATGATACAAAAGTGACATGCATTCAGTAACCCCCACCTCTGACTTATAATAGGGTTATGTCCAGATAAATCTCTCATAAATTGAGAATATCGTAAGTCAAATTGATTTATGGGGGGTTTATAGGGAGGTGCCCCCATCATAAATCAAGGAGCACCTGCATTTCAACCCCTCTCAGAGACCTTTCATCAAAGATCAGTTTGCCACTTCTTTCTGTATCTTACTCTCTTCTCCCATGGCAGTGTCCTTTCAGCATAGAAACAAGCTAAAGACTTCCCCACTTTAAGAGAACGAAACTACCCTCCTTTTAGTCTTATCTCTTCCTCCCTAACCTACTACTCCATCTCTCCTTCCCTTCACCAGAAAACTTTATGTGAGAATAAGCTGAAGTTCCAGCCTACACTTCCACATGTCTGCTGCGTTATACCGCTCGCTGCAATCTGGCTCCTCTGCCATTATCCACTGGCTCTGCTCTCTTGGAGACCATTGGTGACCTCCTATGTGTCAGATGAAGTGGTCTTCTCAGTCTTTCATCTACTGACTTACACGGCATCTGATAATTATTATAACAAATATTATAGTGACTGCATCTACTTAAAATAGTTACAACCAATTCTTATAGCACTTAATGTTATGTTCCAGGCACTGTTCTAAACCTCACTATGACCCCATAAGATAGGTACTGTTATTCCTATTTTATGGATAAAGCACAGAGAGATTAGGTGACGTGCTTGCGTTCCCAGAGCTAACAGGAAGATGAGACTAGAACTCAGGCAGGCTGGCTGCACAGTCTGTCTACACTGTCATGGTGCACTGACGCCCTCTCAAATCATTCTCCTCCCTGGCTGCAGTGACAGGATATAGTCCCGACCTCCCTCCTGCTCTTGGAGGACTTTTTGTCCCTGACCACTTCCCTATCACTTATCATTTCTGATACTGTTCCTAATGTTTATCCTTAGCCTTCCTCTCTCCTCACTGTGCCCATGATTTTTAATCATTCAGATTGTGACTTACTGAAAGCTGATGGATCCACCAAAAAATGCTGATGTGGATATGCCTTAAAACTTTGTGCATAATTTCAGAGTACTGCTCTGAAGCTATTGAAGGATTCCTAAGGAGACCCTGGGCTTCACACGCACAACCTCTGCTCTAGGCTCACTTGGGACTTAACTTCTAATCTTTGCCTCGACATAAGGCAGCATCAATCATTCTCTTCTTCTTTACACATTTATCAGAAGGGGCAGAGTGTTAGCTTTAGCATCTGACATCCCCACTGGCTGGTGAGCAACCTCAGAGCATTGACGCTACCTGGATGTATCTATGAAATTGATACTGTCCTATTTGTTTTGCCATGGCATTAACTTGGTGTTATAACAAAAACCTATCATGTTTAGGGGATAAAGTCCCCCAACAGCACAAAGGGAAGCACCATAAAAGAGCATATTGAGTCATATGCACAGAGAAGACCTATAAAGAAAGGAGTGAGGGGCAAAGCCTGTGGCTCAAAGGAGTAGGGTCCTGGCTCCATATACTGGAGGTGGCGGGTTCAAACCCAGCCCTGGCCAAAAAAAAAAAAAAAGAAAGTAGTGAGTTGATATGAATGCACATGTATCAGGCACTCATTTCCAGAGGGGTGTGAGGTGCTCAGTAGAAGAGCCGTGCCCAGCAGAGTCAGTCACCATCTCCATCTCTCTTATCCTCCAGCTAAAAAACAGCTAATCCTGAGGGGACTGGCTTTGTAGAAGGATAAGAAGTAGTTTCTGATGAAACCTCTGGGTGCCAGACATGCCTTGCAGCCGCTGCCCTTCCACAAAGAAAAGAAGGGTGCTCCCTAATGAGAAGCCAGAATCCCGGTGATCTGCTCATCTTCCCGCCAGCTGGCTTCAAGCTTGGCCTCTGACCTCAAGGCAGGGAGGCTCAACCGGGGAAGAGGCTCACTCAAGACAGCTTTTACCAATGGGTTTTTTTTTATCCTGGTGTGGTCACTCACTTGTTCCTCCCTTTTGTCACCCATTCCTCGGCAACCCGGCGACGCTCTGAGATGCTCAGGGATAGGCCTTCTCCAGTTGTGCCATTCACTGTTCCAAACAAAGAGTCAGTCAGTGGGACCAACAGGCACCTTCTGCTCCTGTAAGTCTGATTCTGGAAGAGCAGGGTCGGGAACCCCTGTTTAACAGGAAGCACCACAGGGAAGTACCAGAGGATGGAATTGGGAGGGGAAAGCGCCGGGTTTCCATTTTCACTTCAGACTCCATCTTTCTTCCACCTTTACCTTATCAAAAGTAGTAGGAAAGTTATTTGCCACTTGTAATTACAGATCTGTCCTTGCTGTCAGGGACAGATAGCAAATATTTTGAACAGAGGCAGACATAACTGCCCATATTTTGGGCCAATCTCCAAACATCACCACCAAGTTCTCTATCTGGGCTTAGACGGGAGGAAAATCAACAGCACCCAGTACTGGAATGTCAAAGAGGCCGTAAGTGGGAGTTACATGATGTGCTTGCTTTTGTACACACAGACCAAACTACCCCTGTCCGTAGTCTGACATGATCAGGCTAGGACAAGGCTTTTATAAAATGACATTTCACAAATAAGCACAAAGGCTATTAATATTTCTTACACCAAGCACTCTCATATCCTCACTTACTCTTATAACAACCCAGAATAGTAGAAATTATTATTCTTATTTACAAATGAAAACATGAAGTCTGAAACACTAATTTAAGTTTTAATCCAAAGCTGTAAGATGCCAATGCACAGCCTCTTTCTTCTTTCCCTTCTTCTACAATCATCTCTTAATGGATCACAGAAAGATGCCAGTGGCAGCAGGACACATACTGAGCCCCACGTGGATGGCAGCACTGTGTCTCCAGGCACAGAGCCCTGGCTTGGAACAGTGGAGGTCAAGGAGGTGAGTGGGAAAGTGTGTCTACCACTCCTCCAGGGGCCTACGAGATTTCAAATATGCTCCAGTTGTAGGGATGTTCCTGCTTCTTCCCTATATCCAGGGGAGATCAGTGGTCCTTTAAGGAGTAAGAATCTGCCTGGAGCTATAAGGGACACTGAGCAGTTAGTTCTGTAATCGGGTCTTGGTTTGGACCTGCAGCCCAGGACATCTTTTTACCCCTGTTTTTATCACTCTGCTTATAACCATGGTACCTCTAGCACTGCAGGGCTCCTTGCAGGTAGAGCGGCAACTCAGAGCCAAGGTGTGATATCCTTGGAACCATCAGCTCAATTGCAGGTTAAGTATAGTTGTCAGGCTTATCACATTCAAGGTGTGAAGTTTTTTTTTTTTTTAACTTTTACTGTCTCTGAAATACATGGGGATAACTGCTAGTCCAGTGAATCTTTCGTCTGCTGTATTTAGGGTCTTTCTTCCATTCACAATTTGAAAGGTCAGGTGAAGACAGAATAAAGCCTATTCTTTTTTTTTCTTTTTCCAAGACAGAGTCTTGCCCTGTTGCCCCAGGCTAAGGTGCAGTGGTGTCATCCTAGTTCAGTGCCAGCTCAAACTCATGGGCTCAAGTGGTGCCTCCTCCTCCGCCTCCTGCATAGCTGGGACTACCTGTGCTTCCCACCACATTCAGCTAAGTTTTCTATTTTTTTGCAGAGATGGGGATCTTACTATGTTTCTCACACTGGTCTTGAGCTCCTGGCCTCAAGTGATTCTCCTACCTCAGCCTCCCAAAATGCTAGGATTACAAACTTGAGCCATTATGCCTGGCCAGACTAGAACTCATCCTTAAGGGAGAAAGAAGAGCCTTTACTTGGTATAAAACTGCTTGGCTGAATGGCCTGGGGCAAGCTAAAGAGGATAGCTGAATTATAGATTTTTTTTTTTGAGACAGAGCCTCAAGCTGTCCCCTGGGTAGAGTGCCGTGGCATCACAGCTCACAGCAACCTCCAACTCCTGGCCTCAAGCAAGTCTCCTGCCTCAGACTCCCAAGTAGCTGGGACCACAGGCGCCTGCCACAACGCCCAGCTATTTTTTTTCGGTTGCAGCCGTCATTATTGTTTGGCAGGCTGGCTGGATTCGAACCCACCACCTTAGGTGTATGTGGCTGGTGCCTTAGCCACTTGACCCACAGGTGCCGAGCCTGAATTATAGATTTTTATTTCTACATGGAGATAAAAACAATCTTACCTATTTGCATTTCTCAAATATTTGTAAGTCTACAAATTTACACATTTTAGTTGGCTTACCCAGGCTCCATCATAACCGGGGACACAATGACGCTGACCTTTAGGCTAGTATCCAGGCAAGACCTCCCTCCATTCTAAGGACTGAGAGAGAGACTTGCAGAGAAATCACCAAAGGTGACTTACCAAAAATGTTCTTCACTCCCTGCTCTTTCACAAGGTAATCCACATACTGACCAATTACTGACAAGTTGATTTCTCTAAAAGACACAGGAAAAATGGGAAAGAACGTATATTTAGTCTTTGTTTTATAGATTATTCAACTAATCCCCAGAGGTATAGTTACTCATTAATAGTTCTCTCATTAATAGTTACTAAAAATCTACGTAGTCTGTGAGATTCTTAGCTTGCTCTGAATAATGACTGGGATTGCGTTTCTTTGTTTGTTTGGTTTGGATTTTCTGAATCTGGTGATTTCTCCACTCAGCCATGTGTGCCTCACTTAAACGAGCATCTCTATTGGCTATCCACAAAGGATTTCTTTTTAAACCTCATCACATTTAAAGTAGTTGTTTAATTATCTTTTGCCTGTTTGGGGGAAGAGTGATGGTCATGGGCACGGCTAATTGAAGCCTTTATGTTTTCCATTTGGTAAGAAACAATTGTTTCTTAGGCTTACAAAATAGAAAAAGTCAATCTTAATAACTTAAGAATTTTAAAACCCATCTGCATTTTTAAACCTATCTGTATTTGCTCTTTTTATATTGAAGAAGATTAATAGTTGGAAAGGAACTCTGTGTCACTTTGCCTCTTGAAGGCAAAAGAGTAGCCTCCTGGGGGGAGTTCATTAAAAGTACAGAATCCCAGGCCCCCACAGCCCTGCCCACCTAGAATCTGCCTTTTAGTGAGATCCCCCTGTGATCTGCACACACTGAGCAGTTTGAGGCACCCTGACCTTGTATGGATATAATGCCTAAGGTTAAAGGCTCTTTTCTTAAAATCGTAATGATTTTAAAATCCAGAAGCTGACTCACAGACAAACTGCATTAAGCCACCTGTCCTCAGTCGACATGCAGGTGGGGAGGATGGGTGACGGAAAGTGAAATCTAAAGGAAACCGTGCAGCTAGCCTGGGTTAAATGTTGCAGAACCCAGTGCCGGGAACACAAAGTACCAGCTGGCTGCCATTAGCACTTTTGTCAGTGGGGGCCAGAGAATCCTAATTTAATTTTAGTCTGATTAACATTCTTTTCATCTTTACCTACTGTATTCCTCCAACAACAAAAATAAAACAAAAAAAGTCTGATGTACTTAGGAAACAAAGACATCAAAGGGTATTTGTCAAAAAGGCTAGAAATAGGCTCGGCGCCTATAGCTCAACCGGCTAGGGCGCCAGCCACGTACACGTAAGGTGGTGGGTTCGAATCCCCAGCCCGGACCCGCCAAACAACAATGACGGCTGCAACCAAAACATAGCCGGGCGTTGTGGCGGGCGCCTGTGGTCCCAGCTACTTGGGAGGCGGAGGCAGGAGACTCGCTTGAGCCCAGGAGTTGGAGGTTGCTGTGAGCTGT